TATGCAAATTTTCCAGGTTTCCAGTTCACGGTATATGGACACAGTTGCTTTGATAGCATATCAGGGTTGATGGAGGGTTGCTTAGTAGGTCACATAATATATAGTGGTAGCGGGAACAAGAAAAGGGTGATAAAGTTTTGTGTCTTTGAAATAAATCAAGCAAAAACAGTTGGCGCAATAGACATTGTACGCAATACTGAGGTCAGATATTGGTATGGGAATCGAAGAGGTTCCCATAAGAACCACAGATGAATAGCCCGGGGTCGAAAAGTCCTTTTGGTTCGTCTGGCAAACATTATGGCATGGTTTGGCTGTAGAAACGAACGTTTTCCACGTTGGTGCTAGTTCTGCCACGATGTGGCTGCGTTGGCATATTTTTGGTCGCTTCCTATGCATTTTCCACAGAAGCATAGCACATACTGATTGAAATGTCTCTGCAGAACCCGACCCCTTGTGGCGATCTTTATTCCAAAGTGTTCGAGTTTTGGTGCCTACATCAAAAAACTGCTCTCCTACGATTTCTGCTCGGTCGTGCTCTCTCTGGTTGATCTTTCTTTTTCCTTTTACCTGGTATTTCTTCTAAAATACCTACTTACTTCTCCTGAAATTCTTCACTAATTTACTCGTTTTTGCTGGTCTTGGATTATTTTCTTCTTTCCGTAGTTAAGGAGTAACTACAAGGACCTGGGAACCTTGAATATGTTGATTTGCTGAAAGGCGGTTTCTACATTGATGAAGCAGCAACAGTGATGAATGAAATCGTATGCAAAGCTGCCAAGGCTTTTCGTTGAGCATTTCGCTGCTGTTACAACACTATTCTGGCTTGTCATCGCTGTCTGTTAGAGAAGTACAAGTGTAATGAAGCTGGCATACTTTTTAAGTAGTTAATGCTGTAAACTTCTCACTACGAGAGTTCCTTCAATCGCAAGAAGAAGATGCCCCTACTTTGCTACTTCGAGTTATTCACAATTCTGATTTTTCACTTGTTTGATGTCCAAATCGAGGAAAATCGTCTCGTCCGTGCCCAGCTGACTGTTCACGTCTTAATGAAAGTCGTTTTTCTAGAATACCCACATTCTGTATTAGTCCTCTTCCATTTTCGGTTTTTTCGTGTCTTGCGTAAGAGTGCTAACGTGGTCCTTCCTTTTCTCCCCTTTCGACGGCCCTCTTATCACCTTTGCATGTGAGCAAATCTATGTATAGGACTTGCTCTCTACCCCCATTACACCTGCAATTTGTCGTTATGCGTGTGGCTCCAATCTGGAGATTCGAATCGGCTCGTGCTTAATTGAATTTCTCGTCGCCAGCCAGCTTTCATTCTGGAATCCATTACAAAACATTCCGCATCATATAACATTGTGAACCTTGCGGGGCAATCCTGACAACATTCAAAGCTGAGCTTTATTTTGCGATTGTTTCGTCTAAAACTTTTGCAGAAAATTCGTATTACCTATTCCTGCTTTTTCAAAACTGCTCACCATGTGCTTACCTTGAGCTTTACACTACTAATACTATACTACTACTAATACCGTACCGACAATAGTGATAAATCAAGCTAAAGAATTCTTTCGAAAGAAACTGCTTTGTGCATGTATAAGTGGTAGCTGCCGCATTTTTAGCAGTTCATCTATTTTCCCAAACGTTCTTATGATGAATACTGCCTACGTGTTGTAGGTATGTAACTTACCATTTTCTTTTCTGGAGTTTATTCAAAATCAAATCTGAAATTTCTGGGATCGTGCTGGGGAGCTGCTGAAAGAATTCTAGCATGTGAAAGGGCAAAGAATTACTGCCGAATAAATTCTTCAATAAAGTTCAAAGAAACATCCAGAATCGCGCGGAAATTACATCAAATATGGTGAGAAATGTAGCTTTTGGGAATTGGTAGGACTTGTTCTTTCTTTTCTGTAATGATGATTCCAGGATTTCATTTAACCCTTTGGGTAATCCTGTATAAGATTAGAAGGCTGTGGCTGTTGTTTTTCGACCGGACTGAATCGACATTATCTCATTTCAAAGTGTCTGCCTTCCCTTTGCAACCTTGCTTTTCGTCACTCATTGTTCAATGAATTCTCGAATAGCTTCAAAGTCGTGATCTTGAAAGTCTCCCTGTTGCTGGCCCAGTGCGGAATTTCGCGCTAGTTTCGAGAAAGGGCTCTTTCTTCTATCGCATGAGGCATCATTGGATTGTTAGATTTTGTCTCACGTTCGAAGAAATGGAACAAATCAAACCGCTGATGCTGGGCTTTCAGCCGAGATTAGCTGGAGCTTCTAGAGAACAATTGCATTTGGCTAAAATTGTTCTCTTTTTTGGCAGTTAAAGTCGCATTGGGAACATCGTTCAGAAATGGGGAAGTCTTCATTGAGGATAAAGATGCTTCTCAGGTTGACCCACGGGCGCCAAGTTTTAGGATCTGTTCATGTGCATCACCGCAAAAGCACAGTTAGATTGTGATGATCTCCAGTCGGTTGGTGGAAAGAATCGAGTTGAGAGTGGACTATGTTGAGTGATGCGTACATATTTGCCATACTGTTATCTGTTTTCACGACTAGAATGTAGTGAGTATGTCCTCGAGTACATGGGGAATCAGACCTTATCGTGCTGCTACCGAATAGTGAATCCCTTGCCACCCCTTTCGCCCGTTCTTCGAGGTGGATGGGCCTGAAGTATTTGGAGGAAATTAGTTAATCTCAACCATATTTTCGTATGGAAACAATGCCTCTCAGTGCTGGTTTTGAAGTAGAAGGGATATCCGATGGAGAATGGATTGGATCTGGACAGCTCACAATTCCACTGTTGTTGTGTTAGGTCGAGCATAGTCCAACCCTTGGCTAACTGCGCCCAAGTGATATGGAGTAACAAAGCAAGAAGTAAATTTGTTGATAGTGTTATGCAGTCAGGGCTCGATGATGAAAGTGTGTGCGATTCTCTGCGAAAGCTAAAATAGAGACATTGTGGATTGTGTGCACGATGTACAGTTAGGAACAGCACGAAATCCTTCGAGTATGAAAAGTATAGGGTCTGTCTGAAGGAGCCGTCGAACTGGGGCAATGTGTAGATTCGTCTATTTTACATTTTCATTGCCTACATGAGGTCTCTTCAATTGGTTAGTTGGGTCGCGATGTAGTTGCACTCGTGAAGCAAAAGAGATTTCCGCAAATTTGATTTTCATTCCCAAAAGTAGAGGATGCGATGGGATTTTCTCTCTGAGGTTTTCTATTCTATGCCGTACTATGCCGTAAACGGCTAATCACTTAGAGCAGTTCAAACACTTTGCTATTGCTTCTTCCGTTGTTTCAAAGTATCCAGAAGGGTTGAATCGTTTACGATCTAATTGAATATTCGTTTCTGCAGGATACTTTCGATCCGGTTTATCCGTCTCAGAGAGATTGTGTTGGTGAGTGCGAATGCGGCTGTGGCTACGTTGTAAGAAAACGCCGAACCGCCCATCTCGTTCGGCCTGTAGTAATGACGCTCGTCCTCTGTTCTTAACGACACTCGTGTATATCGCGACAAACCCTTGCCGAAAGCGGTCATTCGAGGTCTGCTTTCAGGAAGATTCGGGTTAGCGGGTTCAAGCTGCTTGCTCGAACTGCCTCGTGGCATCGCTCGCTCTCATTCAATGAGTGGCGATTCAGTTTCAACAATGCACTCTACCCTCCTATCTCATTTGCCGTTGTCAGAGCCCCGAGCAAATTCACTTCTCTACATATCCGCTTCGCGCTATTCATTACTGTTATCGTTGCGTCGTGATTCCTTTCTACTTGCGCTGGCAGTGTTATTGAAACTGAACGAAGATTTAGTTGACAGCTGCAGGCAGTCTTTGCTTATGTTTTGAAAGCGAATGTTTACCCGCAGAACTGATTTGGCAATATTGATTCCCTTCAATTCTGTCTCACAATATCGCGAAGTATTACAAGTGGTGGGGCCGCTAGGAATGGCGCGCCTTATCAATCATATTGGCCGACCTTCCTTATTCTGTCTGTCGTCCAAAGCTCACGCTGACACCACCCCACCTCAAATGTGGCATCTCTGCTGGATATGCATTTAGTTTGTCAGTGTCAGCTGTCTCCACGTTATGGTAATGAACATAAGCCGGCATTCTCTCACCTTCTCATTGATGTTCTGTTTTAGGCGCTTTTTTGTTGGTCGAATTACTGAGTTGCCCGTAAATCTCACCAGGGTTCTTTTCAGAATTCACCATGAGTGACGAAGGAAAGACAACTGGAAGCACACCGCTGGATCCGGATCCGGATACCATAAAGATGTTTGTCGGGCAGGTTAGTCGTTTACAACTCATCGTGTTGTGCTTTAGTGCAATTACCCTGAGATCTGTCTGCGATCACTTGGATGTCTTCTGTCACTGTCCTTGAAGGAATCAATCGCCATTTGCGGCCCGTCTACGGCTGCTGCGATCGATTCGGGAAACAGGAGATGATAATCAAATGATTGGGCGCAGGGGCTGCTACCGATATAAGGCTGACCGAGTTATCGTGACCATAATAATCCAACTGCTGGCTTCTTCGGCCCATATTCGATAGGAAGCACTAATGTGGAATAGATCACCGGAACATTGGCTCTGCTGCTGTGCGCTTTGCTTTAAAAGGCACTGAACAGACTTATTGCAGAGTACAGCGGATGATGTTCCAGCGTAAATGTCGTTCCACTGCACATTGTCCGGCGCAGCTGGTGCATTTCAGATTTTTTCTATAATGCGATATGATAACCAGATGTTAGCACTCCCTTTGCACAGGTGTACTGTAGTCTGTGCTTTTGAGGAGGGTGACCTGAACGACTACAGAAGCGCGGGAGTCCCGACTAGAGAACAATGGTCGTCATAAACTCACCTCGGCTAGAAATCTGTGTTAAACCACTGTTTTATGGGTCGTCTACTTGCACTCACCTCATCTATTTGTTGGAAGATAATGCGAACGGCTCCTAGTCGTTCAACTGAAATTGTGTGAGTAAAGGTGTGTTCCACCTCGCCCACTGCCGCTATCACCTTTCCCTTTCGAATGTTCCTCTAAATTGGGGACAAGATAGGCGCCCTCAATCAGAACGAGGTCAAGAGATGAGTCCAGCGGGGGCTGGTTGGCATTCCTTCATCCCGGTGGGACTAGTAGCCAGCCGGACTCGTGACCGATTGAGGTCAAGCTGCATGCGCCATCACAGATCGTTTTGCTTCCAATTCTAGATTTCTACACATATATCGCAGACTGTTGGGGATCAAACTAAGAATTGGCGTCGCATGGAGGAGTTATGGAGGCTACCAAGATCATTCATAGCAATTTGTGGCGGTATGGGAATGGAGTAAGAGAACAATCAATCAAGACTCAATGGCTTAATCTCACTTCCGAGCATGATTGACGTCTGTTGTTGTTAAGTAGGCTAACGTAACCGCTGCGAAGGAAAATTGCTTGAGGCAAGACTTCGGGCTTTGGTAATCCTCAGACTCTCTCACGCTATAGCCGCTGTGGGAATTCAAGCTGTGGCCATTGACTTTAAGCTGAACAAAGTACCTTCTGAGTTGGCGTTGAGAGAAACTCGAAGGGAATCCTTTCAGACAGTCCATACATGGGGAGAGTAGTTGCGGGTGGGGAAGGTGGTCAATAATTGTAAGGTATTGAGTGATAGTATGTCTTGTAAACCGTTGTTCCGCAAGCATCAGATACTACTTTTAGATTCCTCGACATTGGAATGAGCCAGATTGCCGGAAACTCTTTGAAAAGTATGGTCCGGTATTTTCTCTGAATATTTTGCGAGATAGGCAAACCCAAGTAAGCAAAGGTGCGGTGAGCTAATGATTTTTAAAATTGTTATTCCATCGGCGTGTATGTCCTTTTTCCAGGATGCTGTTTTGTAACGTTTTATCATCGGCGGGATGCGATAGCAGCTCAGAGTGCTTTACACAATATAGAAATCATCGACGGAATGCACCATCCCGTTCAGATGAAACCTGCTGATACGGAAAATAGAAACGGTTGAATCCATAATCTCCCCACTCACAACCTTCAACCTGAATGAATCTGTAGGCCGATTCTATTTAGAGCGGAAACTGTTTATCGGTCAGTTGGCAAAGAAACACAATGAGGAGGACATACGGAATTATTTCGGGAAGTTTGGGCATATCGAAGAGTGTACTGTGTTGCGAGAAGCTGACGGTAAAAGCAGAGGTAAGGTTATGCAGAATCTCTTTACCTTTCCTTCGAACCTATGAAACATGGGAATTTTCTCATCAATCGCGGGATTATAATAGTTCTCTTCTCAGCTGTGTATTGCAGATGTGACCGATGAATGTTACCATTCAATGTGAAGTTTTTGTTGACCACTGCGAAACACGAATTATCTGAAATGTCCTTGTTTTGTTGCAAATCAGCGTGCGTGGCCATGTGATGTTCTCTTTGTCATCGCGTGTTCGAATCATCCCAGCATGGCTTTCTGTCGATATTTTGCAGATCGCTCATCTGGAAACCATTTAGATGTCCATGACCGGTGAAATGACCATATTAGTCGGAAGTTTTGTTTGTTTATTTATGAAATCGATTCCGCTTCACTAACATGTTGCGTTATGTCTTTTTAGAAAATGAAAACTATTCAACTGCGCATAGAGTCGTTGAGAAAGTCCTGTGCTCTCTTCAGTCAGTTTATGTGTCTGTTTTGTGAGCTTGGCGTCTTTTACAGGATGCGCGTTCGTTACGTATACGAATCGCACCAGTGCGTTGGCAGCAATCAAAGATATGCATCATTCGACCACGATGGAGGTAGCGTTTCAGTTCCTTTATCGCTCTCTCTACCATTATGTCTGTATCTGTCTGTATCTGGGCTGGGACACACTCCGGTCCCATATCATTCCGTTTACGTACATGTTCCATCGCTTGTGTATCTTTACTATCATGGCTAGAGGTCACTGTATCAGCCTTCGTTTATGTGTCTACTCTATCATTTCCATTCTGTCTCCCTGTTCTAAGAAATTAGCAATTATGTGGCCGCGCAATGCGTGAGGTTCGTATGGGTGTGCATGTTTACGTTTTTGTCTCCGTACTGGGTTATACTTGTTCACTGTGAAAGTGGAGCATCGTGAATCTGTGATTTCCCTTTTTCGAATCACCATCGGCGATCGGAATTGTTGGCCTTGAAGCGTTCACATCTTCATGTTGTGTGGCTTAATAGGGTAGTGCTTTTTGTTGAGTGAAGTCATCTTTGAGATGCGAATGGGGAAACGGGTTTGGAGAGGTTTTGCGCAGATGACTAATGTATCGTTTAACCGGACATCGAGGCGTTTGGTTACTCTTATCAATACTTATCGTTGACGTTTTCGTGAAAAAATAGAGTGCAACCACGCTAAGTTTCATCAAGTCGGTAAACTAATTACTAGGAAGGGGTACAGCTCTAGCGGCGTCGTGTGATCGCATTTAGTACTCTCTATTATATCAACTTTTTTTTTATCTTGGAGGAAATGTCATGGAAATTGCAAACATTGAGATATGTAGGAAAATAACTCCGGTGCACAAAGGGCATTGTGGAGAATTCGGTCAGGAATGGTCAGTTAAGATTAGTGTGGAGGTAATCCGCAGGTACTGGATGTGCCAAAAGACGACTGCTCTTATGAGGAAAGCCCACAATCTGCCAGCTACAAAGAATGCATAGGCCATCTTAAACGGCGATTATACCAGATTTACAAATTCTGAAAGAAAGATCCCCTACAGTTTCTATCGTTTTGGCAACCCTTACGAACAAGCTCAGTTCTTCAGCTTTCAGAGTTATGCAGTATTACTATCTTAAACATACTTTTTCGCTGCGTTTTGATGTCTTTTTTCCGTTAACGGCGTTAATGCCAGCCGTGTTGCAGGGGTGTTCGGCCCCTTTGGTTGTGAAGTTTGCTGATACCCAACGAGAGAAAGAAGTGAAGAAATTGCCTGGTAGTGCTGGAACCATAACGTCACCTGCTTCTGGTTTGGCGTCGTTGGGCAATCAGGCAGCCTTGTTGCAGCAGGTACGTGCACTCTATTCATTCTGCGGTATTCTTTTATATACTGGAATTCATAGAGTTTAAATGTGTGCGGCTCATTTCCAATACACGTCTCTCGTAGAAAAATCACTTCGAACAAGTTTATGCATCCATTGGAGATTTTATGGGCAAAAACTGAGTGGTTGTATGAACAATCTCGTAAAGGTTCCATGGAATGCGGAAGTAGTTATTGTCGTTGTATTTGGAGAAACATAAAGCTTCAGAGAAGAAGTAAAATGCGGGGTTGGGAAAGAATGCTACGAAAAAAGCTGCATGGAAGGGGCATTTGAACGAGCTGTTCGAACGCGCGCCATTGCATACGGCTGGCTGCAGTACGCTGCCTGTGTGCAAGGTGTGGGTCTCGGTGCGAATGGAGCAAACACTACAGCTTTCACATCGCTTAACAACTCGTCCGCCTTGGGTGTGTACGTCGCCTCAGCCGGTTTTTGGGGCCCTTATTACGCCGTACGCCCTCTTTTGACTGTTTCTCGGCCCGAGGCCCCTTGCGCTATCCTTGGGGGTAGCAGGTTCATCTTAGGGATTAATTCCAGAAACCACTTTTAACGTGAACTGTGCCTCAATTTCATTGCAATCAAACCCATTGCCGGAAAAATAGAAATTTTCGCAAAGATTTTTGTCAAGTGACAACAGTTTCGGTGAAATTCAAACCTTCATCGGAAGAAAAAAACATTTGATTCGTCAAAATGAAATGTAGAAGGTCCTCCTTCATTTGAAAAATCTCGTCTGTATCCTCAGCTATACAACTGTGTTCATCGACCATAACTACATTGATTCTGTTACTGTTTCAGCTGACCGGTGGTGGAGTCAATCTGCAAGCTTTAACCGCTTTGGCGGCGTTGTTCAATCCCGGTATGCAGGCACAGCAACACAACTTGCTCGGTGTTCTCGGTGGAGGTCGGTTGCTACGTTCACATTTTTAGAATTTCCACCTGTACAATAGAATCTAACTGATAGTTTTAGTGCTTTCGGCGTTGGGTAAACTCACGGAAGGGGGTTCCGGGGCAGTGAACACTGGCGTTGCTACTAGTGGCAGTGCGTCTGCTCTAGTACAGAACGGGCAGAGCGCTGCGAGCAAGGCTCAGCTAGGTAATTGAATCGTGGTGAATGCTGCTGTGACTCTGCTCAGTTCCATCGTCGTGTTGCATCGTCCTCCAGAACCCGACACTTTTGCATTGACCTCCTAAGTTAATAGTTAGGGCGGTTTTCGTTTTCTAGTGGGGTTCTGGAGGGCTTCATCAGTGGCGTAAATGTGGTGCGCTTGGTGTAAGGATCAAGTGGTTGAAGGTGTCTTCTGCGCCTTACTTGATCTTGTTGTCGCTGATTTTCCTCACTTCCCTACTTGCATGTGTAGAATGGTTAAGTTTCCATTCTTACATTCTATTATTTTCGTTTGTTGTTCAACGCTATGGGTCTGTTGTGGCGAGTATGATGGTGTAGAGGTACTCAACAAGTAGCCTTAGTATCCCTAACAACGTAATCACTATAGCACTTTCGTTTGCTTTAACACTTCCGACCTGCTTAGCGAGCGACGTGCCGGTGCATATTTTCGACTCTTTGCACCAATGGGGCATGAAATGTCAATGTCATTCAACGTGCGTTCCAGTGTACAATAGATTGCTCTTTTCAGCTGCTCTACTTCATCAGAGCCCCATCCAACCCCAGAACTTAGAAACCATTGCCCAACTTCAACAGGCCCAGCTCCAACACGCTCAACTAGCCCAGGCTCAAGCTCATGCCCAGGCGCAACATCAACAGCTGTTCGCAATGCAAGTTCAGGCTCAACAAGCACAACCAGCAGGTCAGCATTTCCTTGTGTTAGGGAAAAGGTCAGGCAGGGGAAACAGATAATTCGTGTGCAAGTTAATCCTTGGACATTTCGAAGTAGACATAGGAGAGCCGCATGGGGACAGTGGCTTCTACATGCTGGGAATTTTCACGGGATAGCCGTGGGGAATTTTAGAGATGTTCTAGGGAAATAGATGTACCGCTAATTAGTTTGTCTACCCGGCGTTAGTGTATATCACAAACTAATGTTCCGACTTCTTCGCCAATCTGACCCTGGCAAAAATAGCTCCGTTGCGAGCTCCCTGTAAGCGCCAGCAACTCAACAATAATGCATGGTTATTGGAAATAGGAAAATATGTTTTCAAACATGGAATGTTCGTGATAGAGAATGAGGGGAAGAATGCGGGCAGGGTCGTACGTGAGGAAGCTGGAAGTGGCCTCCTTGGTTAGTGTCCCTTCTTCATCGTTCCTGCACAGTCGCGATGCGGCCATTTTGTGCTGAATACGAGTTTCCACTCTGAGATTATATTATCTACTCAAACAGTTTCGCTACTGATAGTTGTTACCATAAGTTTACAGTCCTTGAAACTCGTTCTACACCTATGACGTGAATGGGGCTTAGCCTCTGAAACAGAGAAAGAATAGGAGGATAGGGGAGGGGGGGNTGTTACCCTTGCCTGATGTTTTCACATGTTCTACTAATTTCATTTTTGTTCACTTTTCTAAAAATAAGAGTGTGGTATGGGCTTGCAGTTATGTGAAGTTATGAGATTGAAGTACGTCCTTTCCCTGAAATCGAGACAAACTTCCGAAGGCTAATACTTCCTTCAGAAACATTTTTTGTTGAATGTCGATTGTAGAATGTCGATTTCACCTTATAATGGAAGGTTCGCTTAATTGCCACCAATGAACTCATCTTTTAGTCTAGTGGAAAAGGGAGGCGAAGTTCCAAGCGTTATCTTTTCTTGCGGTTTGTATTTCGGCATTCGTCTAAGAGTTAAGCAAAAAGCGAGAGCAACGCAGTAAGGTCAAGTTAGATGTAAGTAAATGGTGGATTAGGTAGTCCCGAAAAAATATTTTTGGCAGCAGTTACTTGGATTAAATATTGTAGAAATAACATTCATTAATCAGCATTCTCAACTGACGCGCGGAACTCATCTCCAATTGTTTCACTTCTCTAAATATGGCATAACAATAACAAGCTTTCTGTTTTCGAATTGGTGTAAATAACGCCTCCAGTCATAAACAATCCGGAGATTTCCCACGAATCGTACGTAACATGAATTGTAAATATTTTGGTGTAGCTGCCAGTGTGATACGCTAAGCGTTTCTGGAAACATATGAGTTGCAGGGTTTAAAAGTTGTAGCCAAAAAGCAAATATTGTCTTAAAAAACTGCAAATGAACGATGAAAGGTCGAGAGGTGCGTAAGTGGAGACAAGGCCCTCGTTCCCAGCCCTGTACGTCTACTGATTACATGGATATGTATTTGTTTTTTGGTCGGGTTGAGCGCCCTTTGAGCTGCCAGCCTTTCATCTACGAACAATAGCCGTTTTTCTAGGCGATTTGGCTGCATTTGGTTATGCTACGGGAGCCGTGACAGCGCCGACCATGTCCCAGCCGTTTGCCGCACAACTGTCATCGGTTTATCAAAATGCGCCATCAAGTGGTGTTCAAGTTGTTTCTGCAAAAGCTGCATCTCCAGTTGGTACTGCACTGTCATCTGCAGGCGCTGGCGGTTTCGGTGGTGGAGCTGCTGGGGCTGGCATGGACCCGTACCAACAAGCAATGCAGCACTATACTCGTATGTTCCATTACAATAGTATTACTTTAGCCCTCTTCCAATACGATGGTATAACCCTTTTCGTGAATTTCCTCGTAATCGAAAGGTTCATCAAGTGGGGAGTGGAAGAGAAAGAAAGCGGCGGGAGATGATTGCTTCTAGCCAGTGTCCTTCTTATGTACGTAATGCGAGAGAAATAAACGGGTCCTAACTTACCGCCAATGTTCAATATTTTGAATTTTTGGTAAGGAACAAGCATTAGTGCTATATTACTTTTTCAGTCAACGCCTTGGCATCGCATATGAATGCAAGCGCCCAAGCTGTTAGCGGTGATGTCAAAGGACCTGAGGGATCCAATCTCTTTATATATCACTTACCTCAGGTACCGCTTATGATGACATTACTTGAATCCTGATGTAAACCATTTTGATAATGTTTCTTCCAGGACTTTGGAGACTCAGATTTGCACACAACCTTCTCTCCATTTGGCACCGTGCTGTCAGCCAAGGTTTTCATTGACAAAGTTACAAACCTCTCCAAATGTTTTGGTGTGTTTTTTCACCTTTTAATTAGGATCAATACCTACGGGCACCTGAGTGACTGAACATTTTTCCTTTAGGTTTTGTTTCCTATGACAATGCAGTATCCGCACAAAACGCTATTGCCGCTATGAATGGTTTCCAAATTGGATCGAAGCGATTGAAGGTGCAACTTAAGAATGAAAGGAGTCATCCCTATCCTAAAGCAACCGCATAAAGAAACTATATGATAATAAGGTACGTAATTTTGCGAAAAATCAGTTGTTAATGGAGTTTTTTGGGTCACATACATTGGTTAGAGCAGGAAAACGTGATTGAATACGTACGTATTAGATGAGAGTTCAAGCACTCCTTTGCTGCTAACCATAGTTAGATTATTTTATATCAATCATGAAGTTGTCGCAACTGTCGTCATGGCAACTTAGAAAACAAGCTTTTGTATGGGTAAGAAAGGTAGACAATTGATACTTGCTACATTTCGTTTCCATATGGGAAGGGTCACGTTCCTTCTCTAACTCAGGGGTCCATCCGAGAGTGAGGGTTGACGATAGAACAAACTAGGCTTAGATGAGAGATATGGTAAATTAGTTTGCTGATATAAGAAACGTGATGGCTACTGGGTACAAAGCGCTGAAAATTGAGGTTGTAGGGACTGAATGGTGTTAAAAGCTCTCCAAGTTCAAGTCGGAAGCATAGAAAACTGGTCATCACTTCCTAAGGAATAGTTGAATGCATCTCCTCCTGGTATTGTTTCATAGCGAGAAGGGTGTCTGTTAATATTTGTGGATACACATCCAAAAGTGTGTCATTGCTGTGGTTGTGAAGAGACGCCATGGAGCAAGTCCGAATGGTGAATATCCCTCTCAAATCACCTAGTTTGCTCTACTATTTTCATGTGAAACTTCAGGTCACGTCATGTTTTGAACTCTAAAAAAGAAGTCTGTGTCGATTTAGGTGGGAATGTTTGTGTGGTCTGCGTACCTGGATGCTGTCTGTAGTGGTTCGGTTCTCGCATATTCGTTCCACAGTTGGTCCTTCGTCCTTCGTACCGTGCGTTCGTGATCGTCACGTTACTGCGTTTTGTTCAAAGAGGATATGCCGCTACGACGCTGCCACACTTTCGGTTAATTTCTGTTGCTCGTCAGCACGCCAACCACCACTACGGAGTGCTGAATTTCCTTTGAGTTTGTCAATATAGCGGCTTCTGTTTAGCGTCGCAATACATTATGTTCTGTGAACGAAAGCTACCACGATTACAGCCAACAGGTGGTCACCACACAGTGCACAACCCATTTCCAGTTCCCATCTGAGTTAGTGATGTTGAAAGGTTGTTGGCGGGTCGCTTTAGTATACACAAGTGGTGTATTCTGCAATACGTACACCATTGCCGGTTAGAATATACTGTTGTAGGAAATCCTCTCAGACTCGTTGATGATGGCCAATTAATCTTCGTTGCATTTGCTTTTTTGCTTTTATTGTTAGCTACTATTGAAGAAATTTGGTGTTTTTTCTCTGCTAGATGTGTTGCTGTATGCTCTGTTGATTTCTTTGTGTCAAGGTGTGTCCTGCATCAGTGTGGTTCAGAATCTTGCCTATTCTTGCCCCCTTTCCATGTGACTATCCCAATCTTGCCTAAGGTATGCGCGGTGACAGCGATGAAGTCGCTTCAACCAGTTATCAACTCTTGCCGCTGGATCAATTCCATTCTACTTTCTGTTTCCCTCAACCCATTGCCTCCAACAATTCCAAACCCCCGACCTTGCCATTTTGTTCAGTTCCTCAAATTTTTGTTCATTACATGTCGTCATGTTTGCCTTTGTTTCTTACAATTTCATGTCTAAGTATATATCATAACAAAATTTCCATAAATGTTTCACTGATTTCGGTGGCATGTTGTCTGTTGTTGTGTCTGATCGTCCCAGTGAACGAATGTCTTTATTTGAATAGGAAAAAGATATGCAGAGCGAGGACCGTGATGTGACAAAGGTCTCAATACCAATATTTTCGGCACAGTGTTCAGTGACAGCACATGAGTGGTTACATTGTTCGAGATACTCATTACTTGAAGTAGAGGAGACGTGCAAGGTAGTCCTTCATAAACACAAGTGGACCTTTAGAATAGGATCTACAGTTGACCTCTGAATGGCTTGACTAGGTTCACCGTTAAAAGCTCTTTGGGTCGAGGACCATCACCGGAGTCGACACCCGCTCAAGCAACCAAACCTTCCGTCCTTCCGGGTCTGCTTATGCAAATTTAAAAGAACATTTGTGTGGCGGACAGCAAACAGCTAAAACAAGGCTGACTTTGAGATCCTCCCAAGTGATTTGATGCATACTCAATCTTCAAATCGCTTCGGCTGTATGAATTTTGGTTTTTTTTCACTGACCCTGAACTGTTTCACTATTGAAGGGCAGTTCACAATAAAAATGGTTCCTGATATTGTTCTCCAGGATGAACCTGTGAGCCTCAAATATACCAGAAGAGACGCTGTCTAGATGAAAAACAGGCTAGGTTGTGTAATAGGGGCCCCAAAACTGGCTTAGCCGACGTAAACACCCAAAGGCGGACGAGTTCTCTCGGCGTTGCAGAGGCTAGGGGTTGCACCATTCGCACCGGGACGCACACGTTGCACATATGCAGCTTACTGTAGCCAGCTGTACGCAATGGTACACACACTTGAACAGCTCATCCAAATACCCCTTCCCTCCTTCCCTGCAACTTTTATCGGTAGATTCTCGTCCAATCCCTAATTTTAGTACTCGTCTAATATTATATACCCCAAAGTCGTTGTGAACTGTGCCTTCAATATGTACGTGGCCTAATTTTCCGTTCTGGCCGTTTTAATTTCTGACTTTCATAGCGGGCATACCGCATTATGTAGGTGTCGCACTGGATACAGATGAGCCCTTGAACCCCATTGGGGGCTTGCCCATATCAATCACTCAGGTTTTCATATTTTTTGAGCTTCTACTTATACTGGTTCCATCAGGTGAATTGAATAACCTTTAATCCTGAACAATCTGGGACTTTATAGACTTCTGGTACTTTGCCGTCTCCTCTCTTCTCGAATGAATTTCTCGTTGAAACATTCATTGCTGGATTTGAACCCCGTTGTCGAACTGTTGCGCGGAAATTCACTAGACAGGTTGCGCCTTTTTCAGCAGAAACGAAGTCATGCTCAAGGTTGACTAGAATTGAAGATCAGATACAAAATGATCAAAAATCTACCGAGGGGGAAATCAAGAAGATTTGGATTGGAGAGCAGCGTCATGTTACTGAATATTTACATGATAGGAAGAAAGGAATAGGAGCTTCGAAGTTTCTAGACTGAAGAATTAAGGTCTTTCTCAGACCGACTACTCTTAAGAGTTTCTTTGTCATTTTCAGGATGCCGAGCCGGTAGTTGAGGCGGACACCACGGATTCGTACGTGCTGCTTTTCGAGAAGCGGGCTTCCGGTGATGATGGCATCAGTTCCTCCCGAGAATGGCGTATGCCGTAGACGAAGTAGATACTCAAACCTGCAATCAGACTTCGTGCATTATCTCTTGGTCCACTTTACGGGTGTATTGTTCTGGTCTCATAAACATCTCATCTCATGATTACCTAATACCATCCAGAATGCAAGCCGTAACCAAGTTATGGGTGCAAGGTGCAGCATCATGAGAGCATTAATGAGTAGGCTCAACGCAGGAACGATAGGTACCAGGGGTACCTGAAAAGCACAATGTTAGGAGAAATTTCCGTGGAAGCTGTACTGTAGCGCGGCAACCTTGAAATTAAGTGGAGCTGAATTCTGATGATGAGCCATAATGAAAACCAGCGACAATATAGAGACTGCACCGAAAAACGAGGCCGTCACCATCCCTGCCATTTCCTCAAAGTGTCCTGAAAGCTGTGAATTAACTTTAAATTGAATCAATCCTACTGCCTGGGCAGTTACCTGAACTTAAGCACAGTCCAAATCCAGCGAAGCCAATCATCATCACTAACACTCCATAATGAACTGCGTGACCGGGGTCGAATTGTTCCAAGTATCCGCTTCCAGGGAATGTGACTTTCAGTTTGCCTCCTTAAGCATACTCTCTTAAAGTCTGGCGAACGAAAGTCAGGCATTGACCATATATCTGTATTTGTAACCTTATGCAAATTATGGGAACGCTGTTAGATAGGAGAGAAGAAAATGGCCAAAAATTAAGATATAAAGAGTGTTAGGGCGTGTTAGGCATTCTTTGAAACTGCCGAGTACTGACTGAGCTAGACTTTGAGTGAATTTGCATTTTAATTGGGAGGAACTCGGGAATCTGTTCAACTTTTTTTGCATAATTATTTTGTTGAGGGGGGGGGGGGGGGGGGGGGGGGGGGGNAAGGGTTAGGCGTTCTTCCACAGCGCCCCCTTTCACCGGACTCGGACCTTTTGAGAGCTCGAGTGAATCGAGAGCAGAGCACACATAAAGTGCATTGAAGGCTAGGGCTACAATGCTTATTCTGACAAAAGGCAAGACGATTAATGCTTTTGCTTTTTCCCGAAATGTTTGCAAAGATTCGTCAGTCAAATTTCTCTCCACCGATGCTCTCGAGGGACGTTTGGCTTGCCAAACCTGAATACGGAAATTACTGAAAAGCAGAACCACTTGAGATCTTGTGTTTGCATAGCAGGCACAGATTCACGTTAGCGTTGGTATGGTAGGCATAACCAGAGCACATGCTCCCTTTCCCAATGCTGGGTAAAGTAGGAGAGTCGAAAAAAGCGAAATAATACGATCAAATGAGACTTCTTTCGGTATCCATCCCATTAAATAACCTCCATTTCATTATCTCATGCCTTGCTTCTCTTCGGATTGGCCCTTTCCCTCTTCTATGTTAGCCCACCTTCCAGGGAATTCTAATGTTCGGCTAAATTTACAATGCACAGGCCGGGTGGACCTCAAAAGAATGGACGTCTGTACCATTATCAAAGCTGCCATCTTCCGGGTATCGAGACGGTTGGTATCGAAGGATAATCACACAAGCCGAGACGATCGAATATGCAAGTAGCGTGCCGATTGACAGGAATTCAACGAGCGTCTCGATGTCGAACAGCAATGCGATGCAGGCCGTTATCGAACCGAACACGAGGACAGCGTTGATTGGCACCTGAGCAATTAACAATTCATATTCATCAGCGTCTTCATTCATCGCATGATCACGCTTCATTGCATGGTGCAAGCGTCACCGATACATTTTTAGCTGCTGAGGTGATCGGCCCTCATGCAAAGGGCAGAATGCCGACGTACCTGAGTTTTACCATTGACTACAGCCAGCGAATTGAAAAGGAGACCGTCTTCTGCCATGGCAAAAACACATCGTGGTAGAGCGAACATACCGCCAACCTGTGCAGGGAACTGTCGTTTTGTGATCAAAAAAATGCAATGAAGTTCTTTTTTTGTTTCTGAAGCCAGCTAGCCGACCATTTAGGTTGTAGCTATCCAAGGCTGCAACTGGAGTTCAGGTTTCAGAGGTATTTGGAAAAACTACAACTGAAGTGGCAGTCATGGCTTTAGCTCTGTAGTTCTTTGAATAGCAATTAGGAAGTGAAACTATAGCGAAAAGAAACAGGACACATAAGTGAAACTCACTAAACTGGTTGTCATTCCACATAGAGCGCCCACAGAGACGGCAATCTTCGCCACGGTGGCGCCCCTAAGGGCGAAAGCGTCCGAAAAAGCAGCCGTAGGGTGGACCTGAAATTATTATACATATCCCTTATGCGGTAAGCCTTACAACGGACTACATATTATTCTTCGATAACGACCAATCTTGCAAAAAAGCAATCACAGTTCTTCCGTGATGGTGAAAGGGTTCTAGTCATCAAATTCGTATGTGCTTCGGCGAAATTGGACGCTCCGCTGCCTGAGCGGATGTATTTATGTTCATGTAGAATTTGGCGGCCCATAATGCCCACAGGCAAAGAGGTTGTTGGTCCATTTCCCCCCTCCTGCCTTCCCTCACCCTAATGGTAGCAAAAATAAAGATCGACGACGAAGGTGCATGGGTGAAATGCCCACTATTCACCACCAATTTGACCAGTGGGATGAAAGTGCAAGCTGTCGTCTGATTTATAACCCAAACGGGTATACAAATGGAATTTTTATTATATCACTTGCGATTTTAAGTGGAAGCCCGAAATCACGGCGGTGCAAGCTGAGGTAAGTGTTCAGCGTCGTGGGTTTCGTCTTCAATTGAGTGCTTACCTGATAGTATGGGACCATAAGCGTAAGCGATGCGGACATTGCAATGTAGGCCAAAGTAACTACAGACATCGAAGCAAACGTTGCGATGGGAATCGACCGCGAAGGATCTGAAACAGAATACTCGTCACCTCTGTTAGTGTATGTATGGTGGTTACCTCAGTGAAGTGAAGAGAGTGCAAAAGAGTTCATTTTCTCGAAAATTGTGGCTTTGACATGTGGTAGCAATGGGAGATCGCCCATCAGAACCCTCACCCTCGTACTTTCAAAGCCGATCAAATTGAACGCTCATTATTTACTTTTTTACCTCCCCGGAAGTCCTCACTTGACCTCACGTGAAAGTGAGCTTCCCAACATTGATTACCAGGCGAGTTAGCATCACAACTATCCATGAAAGAAGTGTCAAAGTTAAGAAGACGAATACACGTTCTAGAAACCAAGTAAGATGATAAATTACCTTAACCGTCACTAAAGTAAATATGATGACAAATACCGACGAAAACAATAAATCACAGGAATTAGATGTGAACCGCAAAACGAATTATTGCTCTCAATAACATTAAGAATAGTCTCATTAAGTGTGGTGATTTATTACTTTGGAGAGATCCCAGAGGAGTTAGTATGAATTGGGACTTTCAATGTTGGATCGCTTGCTGATAACACCAAAAAGCTTGCTAATTCGGTAAAGCGCAGGAGCATAAAAAAGCTGTCTTCTGTCTTCAGGAAACACAAGTGAGGAGAGATATCAAGTCTACAATAAGGGAGAAAACAAGAAACGAATTAGTGTGACTGTAGCAATGGCGGAGCCGAATTCAGTCTCAACTATTGACTGAATCAGGGGCCGAATCACAGCTGTAAGCTTAAATACACAAAAGGGGCTACTGAACAGTAATAACCGAGGAACACTTTACAGCCGATCTCCTAAAAAGAAGAGTTTCACCTGAGTGTGGTAGATGCTATCAGGTTAGTGCCAGACAGGGTTTATGCCACAGTAGCGAGTAGTCTTTGCTTTGGCAGTGAACGGAGGGTGTTAAAAGAAGTTTATAAGAAAGAGGTACAGGGATCAGAAAGGATACAGCCACAGCTTTGCAATCTGGAAAACCTCCTTTTTGAAAATTCAGAGAGTTCAGAAAAGAGGGAGCTAGATGAAAATAGGCCCTTACCGGGCCTTTAAAGCTTCCGTGCTACTAGGCAAAGGATGGCTCAGCAGGACAGTCTTCTTCTTGCAATACAGTCATAGATCTCTTCAGGGAATCGAGAATAATAAGGAATGAAGGAATAAAATGATTAAGGAATATTTGGTGGTGGTAGCCGTACGAAAGCTGAGAAATGACGTCAAACAACGAGTAGTAGAGTTGGTCCCAGAGGTCCCTATAGATCAATACAGCAGATTGAGAGTAAGACTATGGAGGTCTTTCTACAGTGTGCATGAAAGTTGGGAAGTCCTGGATGCAGAGGAAGCAAGTTGAAGTCCACCTTCTTGTGAAGCAGAAGAACGCACTGGCAGAATGCGTTACTTCCAGAAGTCCTAACTTCGAAGAGAAGTTGCAAGAATAACACCATGGCTGCCGTAGTGAAGGCAAAGATAGTGGATCAGGACGCTTAGAACGAAAGTGCTAAAGTCGGAAAGGTGGAAGTCGTATTCCAGCTCGCCAAGGTGGTCCTTCATTTTGTCGAGATCCTCAAGACATCAGGCAGTTGAGGCCGTAACGAAGGGGCCGATACGGTGCGATCTTGACTAGTGCAGCAGGGGTCAGCCACGGTTTGAAGCGAGGGCCGATTTCATGGCATCGCTGACATGGGATGAGGTCTGCCTAGCTCGAGGGATATGAAAGATTATCCTGATGGGATATCGACTGAAGCATGGATGGTGCTCGGGATGAACAGAACTAGGTGGCTTAAGCAATTCCTGAAGATTATCACTGCTGAGAGAAGCAACATAGATGTGCAAAAAGGTCGAACGTCCATTGCGCGCGTCCGTTAAAAGTAGGTCACCCTTCCACCTCGCGCGCGGCGCACCATACTAAGGCCTCGAGCTGACATTACAGTACCACCAAGTGTCAGTTGACCGAATGATTCGCATTTGTCCGCGTTATCTTCTCTTCGGCTGACTGCCGTAGACCAAGCGTAAATCGTATGCCCCATTGACAACTGCGACGTCCGTCAAGCACCGCGCTAACTCGCCGCATGCGACGGCTGCGGCGTGACCTAGTTTCGACGGGGCGCAACGAAACACACCCGCTGCTATAGCTTCGATCTTCAAAAAGGAGGAGGACCCCTCCCACTGTTTCGACTACCTAGGGTGAGGTTGATTGCACTTGGGCTTCATGCAGAAATGTGCACGACGGATGTCTCCTCCATAAGTAAATGGGCAAGTATTGAGAAAAGGCGTAGACCTAGTTAACTTGCCTTCCTCGATCTGAAAAAAATTGTTTGACGTCACAAGATAATTTGAGTGCGCACAGAGAACGAAACTTCCCAGAATATCCGATCTCATTGGCCAGAGACATGGAACATGGGATTAAGACACTCATATGCACGCATAAGCCCTGAGGAAAGCAGTAGGCATCACGGTTGAGGTCCACCAAGGATCAGCTTTCAGCCCGTTCCCTCACCAACTGTTATAAACTGGATGTATCACAGAACTCGAGCATGGACTACTGGAGAAAGTGCAGGAATTCTGACTCACGAGGAGAGGCCTAACCGCTGATGGTAGTGTCGACAAGATCGTAAAGGTTCGAATAAATCCGACATGGGCGAAATGTAAGGAGCCCACTCGTCTCTTCTACAATCGAGAGATGACCCAGGAGGGTAATAGGAAGGGTATACAAATATTGTTCAGTCCCACGTTGCTACACGGCAGCGAGGGTCGGTCCATAGCCAAAGATTATAGAAGACAACTTCTATCCGTCGATGAGGATGTAGAGAAGGACCTGCATGAAGATGACGAGTGGATTGGGTTGGAAGCGAACATCACCATCGCCAGGGAACAGCGCCATGTTCAGCAGGTGATGAGAGAACAGCGCCTGTGATGGTATGGAGAATTCAAACTTTAATGGGACCAAACACGAGGGGTTCCAGGTGGAGGAACATGATTAAGTTGAATTTCGAGACCAAGGTCACGGCAGAAGATGCTGTATATGTGTTGAAGGGAATGATGTCTGCTAAATTTTAGGCACCTCTATGAGAAAGAATGGGCGATGCTGCTGACCTCTGGCCTGTGGAGGATCGTCAAGCGTATTGGCACTGGTTGAAGGCACAGTTCACGGTAATTTAATGGGCGGGACGTCAATGGCCTTCACGCCTCTCCATCGATGTCACCTCAGACGTCAGAGACGAGTGTCGAGACAATACAGATTGCAAACTTTCGTTCTAGGACCCACGCACAATCAGCTAATCGCCGAGTGATGAGGCGATCTTTCTCCCCCATTCTTTTTTCCTCTGTTTTTCTTTTTGCTGCCGCGATCCCTTATTTAATTTCCTACTCCTAGAGGCTGAAAATGGTGAGCAACTTTTGCTGCTACAAGGGTTTTTTGTTTATTTATGCTTATAAAAGAATGGATTTTTGCTTACCATTGTCTGTCATTCGCACCAGGACCCACACGCGCGCAGTGAAACACACTGTTTAGCTCGTCCGGACGCCCCACTCTTCTTCATTTTTCTGAACTCATTCTCGTCATTCTTCAGTCCCCTGTTTAGCGGTTTTTTGAAGCCTTTTTTCAGTTTGGAAGTACCGATTCACGCAGTTTCTCCACCTTCATCGCACTATTTTCGATCTTGTCGTCCATTTTTCATCACAATCTGGACTACCCAAAATTATCGTGAATTGTGTCTTTAAGGAGGACAGATGAGTGATATATGTTAAGCAAGCCTCACAGTATTCTTATTCACCTCAGTAAATGGGTGCTTAGGGTGATTTTGTATAGAGGTACTCATTTCTACATCCAGTTCATCGAAAAGCTTTCTCTTATGTTCCACTCAGAGAAGAAGGCGATAACGTCGAAACCTCAGCCGAATAATTTAGTGTCATCCATCTTGGCTTGGCTCAAGCGCTACTCTTGGTATTAGCGCATCGAAGAAATAATCCAAAAGTCATGAAAATTTAAACGGGATGCTCTTTTCATCGAGACCTTTAAAAACGAATACATCGTCTCAAATGAAAAGCGAATTATTTCCTCTATCAATAATGACGACAGAAAAAGAGAGAACCATTCTATTTCATTAGGGTAAAACAAAGTAATTGCAGCGAGCTGTATGCCCATGTGCTGAAATTGTTGTTCTTCAATACGAGATGAGGGTTGTAAAAGTTCTTTGAGTTAATCCTAAACGGTAGCTGGTTGAAAATTGCCTTCGGAGCCACCTACGCAGAAGTTTTTATGTGTCCAATGCCTTTTGGAAAGGAAGGAAAGAAGGCTGCATGACATCAGATGCAGTTTGATTGAATTTTGCGACGTCGGTGTAGGGAAGTATACGTTAAGGGAAATAACTGGCTATTTTTGCATTTGAATGAAAGAGCAGGAGCGCTCACTTTTTGCCTCTTCTCCAGCAGTTGCGAGACCGTCAAAGCCGATATAGGCAAAGAAACACGATGCTGCACCTGCTAACATTCCATTCACGCCGTATGGAAAAAAGCTGAAAAACCAGACATTAGCGAGAGACAAGCCAGTAGCTTTAGTTACTATTCTTTATTTTAGTGTATATTATCAATAAGGTCGGTACTGTAAAGCGTCCCCAGTTTCAAGCCAGATCACTGCTACGAGCTGATGCTCAGGTGCAAGAAAAAAGAGTGAAATGAATGTGATGGGAAATTTTCTATTTCAAAATACAGTCGAGCCGTCAGAATCTGTTAAAGTGCACAGCGCTCGAGCTTGATTGTGCTAGCGAGTGAGTATACAGCCATAGTATTTAATAGTGAGTGTATAGTGAAAAAGAAGTCGCTCGGAATTGAAATAAGGGCTCATAGAGTAATGCGAATTTGAAACAAGGCAACCTCGAATCACTGTATCATCCTGTCTTGTGTAGACCTAGTCAGTTCTTTCCTATATGATCTCCTGTTTCAAAGAAAGCATCCTTGTAAAGGCATCTACCGATCTCCGATTTCATAGGAGGACTCTATCACTTACAGAAGATTAGCGTCACCTATGGCTGTCTCTTCCTTTTCGCTCTTTTCTCAAACAGGGATGTGATTTTCTTTTTCGAAGGATGCCCTTTACACTGAAGCCATAACTAAGTTACACCCACTTCATCGGTATTTTGCTGCGATCAAATCACGTAGGCCTTTTCTCCCTCACTAGGAAATTCTTTGCAAAGTTGCACTTCAATAGAGTAGGATTACGGTAGCCTAGTCATGGTGGACACAGGCTGTACTATAGAAACTTATACAGCCTAATGACTTCATGAACAAACCTTAGTGAGCGCGGGTTTGTCGGTCATGTAATGAATCATCGCTGAACATTTGTTCCAAAAGGCTCCTTCAAACCATGAAAACGCTCTAGAAGGTAAATGAATGCTCATAGAAAACAAGGCTTCCACTTCAAGTTCAGCTCTGATTGCAATAATTGATGACTATCAGTAAAATGAAAAATCCTTCCATATCAATTGATCCCTCAATGTTACTATTTCTTTCGACCCGAATGAGTACGGCATCATCAAATGAGTGTTAACCCAACCTTGTTCGGTATAGTGCCATATCTGGTCAACTGCCTTTTCTACGAGGTGTTCGCAGCTTTCCTTTTTCCCTAGACGATCGAAATAATTTTCTCGAGAGGAAGATGGTGCGTAGCGGATGAAGTTGCGATCTTATTCGCTCTCCTTTGAAAACACGTAAACACCATGCACGAGAAGCTTTCTCGGTCGCAAACACATACTTCTCCTTCATTCAAAGGCTAATAGGAAGGCCTGTTAAGGCCATTCGTCACCGCTTAATTAAATTGACCTGGCAACGGAAAATATAAAGAAGTACAAGTAAAAATTAAAAATGAAAGGAACGCTCTAAAAGTTCGTAAACTTGATGTATGAAAAGAAAGAATTCTCACTTCGATACTCCCTCTTCGTTGGTGCCACTCCATAAGCTGAAGTCTGCGAACGTTATACCGTACCCGACGACAAGCACTATTACCTGAAATTGCATCAGATTCGTTACGTGGAGTGGTTCCTGACTCTAGTTATTTGGGGGCTCCCGAAGTCTGTCAGTTTTTAGCGCTTTTAAATTAGATTCGTTAAAATGATACGCCATAGTGATTTGAAAGTTTTGAAGATTTCCGAACCATTTGGCGCGCCCCCATTTTCCGCTTACATCAAGAATCGGGTGGCGGTATTTCTCCCCGAAGTTACCATACTCTTCAGAACTTCAGAATCATAGTGACGTCTGTATGGGTACGTGGACTACACAACGATTGGCGGTGTTCAGACGACATAGAATTCAGTAGCTTTGCCCCCTAGACGAGTGTAGGACCATTCAGTCGACCCCAGAAGGGTGGAAGGCATTGTTGGATTGACGGAATACGATCCACGGTTCTAAGCGTGTGATGGCGCCCCACTTGGCACTACACCACATCTGCATCACAAGAAATTTGATAGATTGAGATGATGATTTCAAAGGGAAAAAAGCATTTTGTTCTGCATGGACAGAGAGAGCAATATGGAGCGAGAACTCACCGCCATGTTACCGATGGTGAAAACCGAATTGAAATTTGTGGAGACTTTCGAGCCGAGCGCCACGAAGATGGCAACAATCACAATCAGGAGGAAAGCGACCACGTCAGGATAGTCACCGAAGAACGACGAGCTCTAGAAAATCTCCCAGATTAGCTTTTGTTACCACTTTTCATCGAGTTCTTGTTTACCCTACCTCAATTCGACCAACTCGTTCGATAGTTGTGTTAGATATGACGTTACCGAGTAGCGAATCCAAATATCCTGACCATGACCGAGCTACTGCTGTAACGTGACTGTTTCTTAAAGTATACAGTAAAGAACTCCAAAAAAAAGTGACCGGCAGCTCCCAGCATATGTTCCAGCACGATATTCCAGCCGATGACAAAGGCCCATAGCTCACCGACGCCCACATATGCATACGTGTAAGCACTGCCCGCTTTTGGAAATCTAAAAGCAACTGACGAGTATGGAGCCAGCACCTATTTAAAATGAATTGGATTATAAAAGTAAAGGTAAAGTCTTTGTCGTCAAACAATTTCGTTCCAGGGGCGCTCTCGCCTTCCACTTGCAGTTTGCAATTAGCAGTCTCCACATGCGTACCGGAATAGGTGCATGGATGAAGGCTGCTTGCGACTACAGGCCGCTACCGTGGTAAAAGATGAAGGGCCAAATTTTTGGTTTTAATGAATGCCGTCTTTGGGATGCGTCCCTACAGTCCATTCTTTTTCAAAATCGTAATGGGGTATGATTGCGTATGAGGTCTGTCAATCACTTACGATGGGCAGCCAATGTACCACTCAGTGATTCCATCGTACCAAATGGGTTTTGTATCAGTTAATCGTCCCTGGATGGATGGAAAGTGCGGTTAGCCAAATCGGCTCTCGAACTGTGATTTGATCCCAAGCCCATACATGTGGCGGTGTGCTTCACCTGCTACAATACCACCCCCGTCCTTCGATTATTAATACCAATAATATTTTTCGTCACCACAAATTTAGCGCCGAAAAATTTTTGACATTGCACAGTTCAAGAGGAAAAAAATTTCAAGATTCCAGGCGATGGTCCCTCACTTAATCACTCATCCCCTCAATAGAACTATTTTTGCTTTTCGGGAATGCGTAACGGTATAGGAAGCACAAGAAGTCTGCTAGTGTGCTGTATAACCTTCCAGAAACGCATCACTGTTTCCATCACCACTCTTGTGAAATGTATCAACATATCCGTCACAAATGATGGAAGTCCTAAATTCAACTCTCTCTCTCGCTCGCTCTCTATTTCTCCTTCTTTACTTCCTTTGAAACTTTTTAGTAACCCGTCGTCACTGCGCGTTCGAGTGTGGTGGGTTTACACGCGAGTTGATGCATTTCAATGTATAAAACATGGCTCAAGCTCTGCATGAGAAGTGGAAGTCGTGATTGGACTATTATTATGAATAGTCTCTCGCAACCCTTATTATGTAATTTTACCTGTCATGAAATCGATCAACAGTTGCGCGGTTCTCGCTGTATTTCGCTCGAAGGATCCGTAGACCGAGGGTGGTGAATGAGCTTTTCGGAATTATCTTGGTTTTCCAAAATTATCAGGGGCTCTGAGGCCGCTCTTCCATTTATCGGGAATGAAGTACAATTTCACGAGACCACTAATTGGAAGCTCACAATGGTTGCTTTTAATCTGATCAAATGGGGGGCAACCGTGGTGAGCCTATCACGTCTAGAGCGGCGACTCCTGTTTCTTTTACTTGCATCAAAGTGAAGCAATTCATTGGAAAGTCTGTGCCGATCTGGATGGGACGGGTTGTGGCTCGGCAAGTGACCCATTTATCTGGTTTTAGTAGAGTGACACCATTCAACCCGGTTTATCACTATCCCCTTCCTATGGCAGAAGATTTATCGCTTTTCATTGCTTGTACTTGACCCTACCCCCTTTCAAAAATCATCTTCTTTTCCTTTTTAGTTCTTTTGGACGTTCCCTGGAAACCGGATCCCATGCACGCATGGAAATGATGGAATCGGATCCATAATAACACACTCACAAGGCATAAAAATGCTACCAAAAATGAAAACATATCTCCACGGGAGTTTGGTGTTTTTTTCGAAATGATCCATTCATCTACCTAGGTAACTAGTACAACAGATCCTTTAATCATTAATTCAGCCCAAGCCAATTGTCGAGAAGAGTTCTTGCTCACCGAGCTCCAAATTCAGCATAGCATAGCGCCGACAGCAATGACGCAACTCCAGCGAGAAGAAATGAGAGCACAATAGACGGACCGGCAACGTTCCGGACAACCGCACCTAAAAAGAAATTCACTTTACTGTTTTTTTAGCAGTAACCCCTTTCCGTCAAATTTTGTTCCATATGGTTGTGGATCAGGTTGTTTACGGTGGCATAATATTGTTTCCATATCAATGTTTTCAGCGCCCCAATACCGCATAATCGCTGTAATCCCTAGTTTTTTATTCAGTTTGCTGAGCTTAGTTGTCTGCTTTCACTGTTGAAAAACTTGTTGTTCAACGGTTAAGCAGTAACTAAAGAAATGAGCAGAAAAGAAAAAAGAGAAGAAAAGAAAGAAAAGTGGAATAGTGGCTTGGGAAGATACTGGCATAATCATGCCCCAAATGACTTAGTATGACCTAGTTGGGGAAGGCAAATACCCATCAGGGAGCCTTTTTCTGCCCGGGATCTGTCTATCTAAGAATTATTCACATGCAAAAAACTTCATGTGAGCAAATGGTCGTTGATCGTTGGTTAAACAAAAGAGTCAGAATTTCAATGAGCACTAAAACGCACAGGTCGAACAGTAGCCAAGTCCAGACTCATGTTCGACCTCCTTCGACCCAAGCGCGAAAGGATAAGGATCGTGGTAATGCATTTATTGGAACATCCCATCGTGCATATCGAGATACGTATGTCTACAGGGTGACCCACATGAAGTGTGACGGCCAATAAAAAAAACAACTTATGGGCATTTGGGCTGGAGGAAGTGGTGATCGCTTGGGCGGAAAGGAACGCGATGAACGTCAGCTGAACCTTCCACAGGATTGGGCATCAACCCACAGCGCAAAGAAGATGCTGCAATGTTGTAAAACCACGCTTCCGGGTTCTGGGGGCGAAGCAGTTTTGACCTTCAAACTCCTCGATCTCAATC